ATCATCTCAATTGATGCAGAAAATGCATTTGATAAAATCCTACACCGATTCCTGATCAAAACTCTCAGCAAAATAGGAATAGAAGGGACATTCATCAACACAATAAAGGGCATATATATACAAAACCAACAGCCTATATTATTCTCAGTGGGGAGAGACTGAAACCATTCCTCTTGCGAACAGGCACCAGACAAGGATGCCCTCTATCACCACTTCTATTCAACACTGCATTGGAAGTCCTAGCCAGGGCAATAAAGCAAGTAAGGGAACTCAAAGGCATTCAAATTGGTAACAAAGAAGTCAAACTATCCCTATTTGCTGATGATATGATCCTGTACCAAGAAAACCCAGAAGACTCAATCAAAAAAACTACTGGAACTAATTAAGAGATTTAGCATAGTGCTGGGATATAAGATCAAAATCCAAAAATCAGCTGGATTCCTCTATACCAGGAAAGAGATTGCTGGAAAAGAAGGAAATCAATACCACTTACAATAGCTACCATCAAAATAAAACACTTGGGAATAAATCTCACTAAGGACACAAAAGACCTGTACAAAGTAAACTACAAAACTCTACTTCAAGAAATCATAAGAGATTTACATAAATGGAAGAACATACCGTGCTCCTGGATACAAAGACTGAACATTGTGAAAATGTCAATTCTACCCAAAGCAATCTATACATTCAATGCAATCCCAAACCAGATCCCATTAGCACTCTTTAACGATATGGAAAAACCAATTACTAACTTTATACGGAAAGGAAAGAGACCTTGGATAAGCAAAGCATTATTGAATAAGAACAAAGTAGGAGGTCTCACACTCTCAGATCACAAAACCTACAATAAAGCCCGAGTAGTCAAAACTGCCTGGTATTGGTACAATAACAGACTCATAGACCAATGGAATAGAATTGAGAACCCAGAAGTAGATCCACTGACCTATGGTCAGCTGATTTTTGACAAAGGGCTGAAATTCATTACATAAGGAAGAGATGGTGTCCTTAACAAATGGTGCTTGCAAACCTGGATATCCATTTGCAGAAAAATGAAACAAGATCCGAACCTAACACCATACACAAAAACTAACTCCAGACAGATAAAAGACTTAAATGTGAACCCTAAAACTATAAAGTTCCTCAAGGAAAAACTAGGGGCAAATTTATTGTTGTTGTTAGGTACCGTCAAGTTGTCTCCGACTCTTAGTGTCCTTATGTACAACAGAACAAAACACTGCCTTGTCCTGTGCCAGTCTCACGATCCCCGCTATACCTGAGACCATCATTGCAGCCACTGTGTCAATCCATCTCCTTGAAGGCCTTCCCCTTTTTCATTGACCGTCCACTTTACCAAGCATGATATCCTTCTCCAGGAAATGGTCCCTTCTGACAACAGTACCAAAGTAGGTGAGATGAAGTTTGGCTGTTCTCACTTCCAAGGAACACTCCAGCTGTACTTCTTCCAGGACAGATTTGTTAGTTCTTTTAGTAGTCCACGGTACTTTCAACATTCTTCACCAACACCACAAATCAAAAGCATTGACTCTTTTTTGGTCTTCCTTTTTCATTATCCAGCTCTCACATGCATGTGAGGCAATTGGAAATACCATGGCTGTGTCAAGCACACCTTAGTCTTCAAGGAAATATCTCTGCTCTTCAGCACTTGAAAGAGGTATTTTGCAGCACATTTGCCCAATGCTGTACGATGTCTGATATCTTGACTGCTGCTTCCATTGGTATTGACTATAGAACCAAATAATATGAAGTCTTTGACAATTTCAATCTTTTCTCCATTTATCATGAAGCTGTTTATTGGCCCAGTTGTGAGGACTTTTGTTTTCTTTATATTGAGGTGTAATCTATACTGGGGACTATGTTGTTGTTAGTTGTTGTTATTTGCCGTTGAGTCACCCCCCGACTCATAGCAACCCCTCCTTGGGTTTCCAAGGCAGTATCACTACAGAAGTAGGATTTCCCAACCTTCCTTCCGAGGAGTGGCTGGTGGGTTTGAACCGCCAGCCTTCTGGTTAGTAGTCAAGTGCCTTAGGCACTATGCTACTGGGGACTGTAGG